TTCCTGCTGTTGGTTCAACATAGCAATGAACATCTGTTTCTCATGATCCACGATGTCCTTTACTTGCGCCGCTCTGTGACACATTTCTTCTGCCTCCATATCCTCCGGCTCTTCTGATTTATTAGCTCTTTTCCCTCTTTGAGGCATTTTAGTAGTTGTAAAGTATGCTCAAAGACTTGAAATATAGAACAGACAAGAGGAGCAGTAAAGACGTCTGCTCTCGCTTGCCCGGACTCTTTAAATGAAGCTCAACCACACAAAAGCAGAAAAACAAATGATTAATATATACTGTGCATCTCATGGACATATGGTGGGTATGTGAATAAAACACTGGAAACTAAACAAAATGTAGGATGTGTACCATAATTGAGACATCCATATAATATCAGGACATGTTAAGGTGTTAATGTGGGGTTATGTGAAATATTCTGTGTTTGTGTGCTTCCTCTGCTTCTTTGAGGAGAGCTGCACTTGATTCTGAGTCATGGCAAAAAGTAAACAAAACATACAAATACCATAATGTTTATAAAACCTTCTCAAACCAGACCTGCAACATAGTGCACTTCTTAGCTTTAGCTTTCTGCTCGGCTTGTTCTAAACAACCTTCTGCTCGTGGCCATGGCCATTGGTGGTCTGCAAAGGCATTGCAGGCCGCCCCAATCATGCATTCAGTGATGTAGTTTTACTCTAGTAATCTTCTTTAATACATTTCCATGTATTACACATTGTATGTGAGTAATCAAATCCATGCAAATAAATAACATTTTGAAAAGACCAGGTGACTTGCAGGATTGAAATAGTGCCCATCCAGTCTATCCACCTTACAGCAGTGGTCCTCGGGTTACTTCTTAGTCAGAATGGTGGTCCCTGGATCAGTTATTTGAAAACACTTCTGCTTATTCAGTACTACTTCTGGTACAGATCGACACTTACTATATGAGAGATTTTAAGAGGAGGTGGTTCCGTGTAATAATAGTGTTTACCTTTGTTGTGGAGAAACTATATGGGTTTGGAACATAAATCCAAAATCCACTTGTGATTGTCCTGACTTTCCCCTTTACAGTTGTCTGTATGGTCGTCCTGTAAGACTGATGATCTTATTGTGTCATAATTGTGTTTTAGCCTACTGGATTTTTGAGAACAATACCCCTGGCAATATTGAAGTTTAAAAAAAATCTGATAATCTACGTGTTTTTGTTTTTTTACATAACCATATAGTAAGCCCATGCTGGCCCAGATGATTGAGTATATCTCTAATTTAAAGCCACATTTGTTTGTCAGCCAGCTTCTTTTTTTCTTTTCAAACTCAAAAATGTAGTAGTGAATTTTAACACTTTAATACATTGTGCCTGTACTCAAGAAAACATCTATCAGCATTCTAAATGATTACAGACCTGTGGCTGCTACTGTAATGAAATGTTTTAAGAGGCTGGTTCGAAAACACAAAATCTTCCCTTCCTCCTACTTTGGACCAATATCAGTTTACTTATAGGTCTAACAGGTCAACAGGAAATGCTATCAGTACTGCTCTCCACACAGTGCTGACTCAGCTGGAACATCTTGGCTCAAATGTGAGGATGTTTGTGGATTTTAGCTCTGCATTTAATACTATCATCTCCAGCAGTATCAAAATTGCTCGATCTGGGGGTGAGCCCGTACATGTGCAGATGGATTAAGTGCTTTCTGACAGACCGTCCACAGTCGGTCAGGCTGGGGTCTTAGTAATACTTCTTGATCCTGAGACTTAAGACTGGAGTTTCGTGGGGTTGTGTGCTGAGCCTTTTGTTCTACACTCTGTATACCCATGACAGCACATCAGACTATAACACAAATACAATCATTAAGCTTGTGGACGACACAATTGCGGTGGCACTGATGCAAGACAATGATGAGCCCAAAAACTGACTGTATGGTGCTACGACAATAACTTGTCGCTCAGCGCCTCCAAAACAAAAGAACAGATAATTGACTGCAGGAGGAAGAGAGAGGAACTTGGTCCCCTTTACTTCAAAGAGGACATGGTGGAGAGGGTCAACAACTTTAAATTCTTAGGCATGTATATCTAGCATGGACTGTTAACACCATTTCTCTTGTGAAAAAGGCACAGCAGGAGCTCTGTTTTATAAGGTTACTGAGGGAAGTGAACCTGCCTCAGCAGCTGCTGCAGCAGTGACAATAAAGAGATCTGATCTTATCCATTGGCAGCCATACATGCACATGCCATAATATTGCCTCACCATGTTTTGCAGGTGATGTGGTATCATCTTTGGATTATGGACTGTTCCCTTCCTTCTCCAGACATTTCTCTTCCCATCATTCTGGTGCAAGTTAATCTTGGTTTTATGAGTCCAAAGAATCTTATTCCAGAACTGGGCGAGCTTTTTTTTTTTTTAGGTGTTTTGTGGCAGATTCTAATCTGGCCTTTCTGTTCTTGAGCGTCATCAGTGGTTTGCACCTTGTTGTGAAGCTTCTGTATTTACATTCATAAGGTTCTTCACCATGAACAGAATTCTGTGGTAATCCACTTTAGTTGTCTTCTGTGGTCTTCCAGGCCTTTTGCTGTCGTGTTTGTCAGTTAATTCCTTTTTAAGAATGTTCCAAACTGTAGTTTTGGCCATTCCCAATGTTTTGGCTATCTCCCTGATAGGTTTATTTAGTTTTTTTTTCTTCTTCAGCCTAATGATGGCCTCCTCAACTTGCATAGATGCATCTTTGCACCTCATGTTGAGAGTTCCAGTGAACAGCTACCAAATGCAAATGTAATACTCAGAACCACCTCCAGGCCTTTTATCTGCTTGATTAATCATGGAGTAACGGGGGAACAGCTCACACCTGCTGGTCAGCCATTTGTTTCATTACTTTTGAATCAACAAAAATGGGTGTGTTTGTGTGAATATGGCGGCAATTCCTGAATGGTTAATGCCACACTTCTGTCAGACCCTTTGAAATAAAGCTGAAAGTCTTGACTTCACTCGCATCTTCAGTGTTTCATTTCAAATTCAGTGTGGTGGTTTACAGAGGCCACATGCCAAAAAACTTACCATTGTGCCAATATTTGTGAACCTGACTATCATTTAATAATAATCTTCATGCTAATTACACTAATGAAGACATTTCTAGGAAATGCTTGTTGGGACATAACTTGAATTTCTTTCTTATTTCCTCAGCTATGGAGTGAGGAAGTGGAAAAAGTGAGTATATCAATCCTGTGGTTAAGAACCTTGGCCTAGGCATCAGTATGCTTCAAATAACCGAGGTTGTATTATGTGTTTGCTGACACAACCACCACTAATAGAGGAAGTGTTTATTTATAAATCTTTCAGTTTGGCACACTCCAAGACAGTTTCCCCACACAATGACATGTAACTTGGAATAAGAGAACGCATTAACACTCTTGGTGAGGCATCCAGAAATTGTCAGTCTGAGAATCACACCATTTCAGTTATGCTGATATCCATAAGTCCAAAACTTGTTAGGTTGCACTTTGTACAGTACAGTATGCTAACTATTTATTTATACAAAGCATCTAAAAAATGTCCTTTATGTATGCTCCTTGCTATACATTAAATGTGTTTTTGTGGCATGAAAACATTTAAGACCTCCGGACCTGTATAATAGTTAAATCATCAGGTCTGTCAGATTATTTTTGTTATTTTTTTAGCAGTCAGGTCTGGACTTGACATCACAAGCATTTCAAGCATGTCATTAATATTGTTCTTATTGCCTCAGGCTGAACATGAACTCAGGGTGGCCCAAACAGAGTTTGACCGCCAAGCAGAGGTCACACGGCTGCTTTTGGAGGGCATTAGTAGTACACATGTAAGTTATGCATGGTTCAACTATACGGTCACTTTGGCAGCTACACGTTTATGAATGGAATGATACAATAACAGAAACATATGATCAGTGTATAACCTGAAATGGTAGAAAGCTAAGAAGTAACTGCAAGAGGTAAAACAAACAAAAAAGTCATCAAAAACTAAAAATGTATGTAACTTTGAGTGATTGTTGTGTTGTTGCTTATCTTCAGGTGAATCACCTGCGCTGCCTGCATGAGTTTGTGGAGGCCCAAGCAGCTTACTATAAACAGTGTCACCTGCACATGCAAGAACTCCAGAAGGAGCTGGGAAGGTGAGAACCAGATGGGAAGCACTATAGGTGGATGATCAGATTTACAGAAGCTTCAGTCATGTACACACTCCTTGATTTTTACAAATCACTAAAGGGGATATTTACTAAACCTGCCGCCAGTCACCATCAGTTGTGGGGAAAAAAACTGTAGGGCCACAATTTTTTAGCAACTTACCAACAGTCGTGATGTAATTGAGTATAGCCGGATCTGCTGCCTGAAGGCTGCACATGTGGGCCGAGAGGAAGTGGGGAAGAAAGTCTAGCTTTACAGGGACCAAACTTTAATATGGTTGAAGAAATGCATTTCAGAACTTCAGTCATATAAATAGTCTTCTGTCAGTCAGTTCATCTTTTATTTCCTTCAGTAATTGAAGCATGGTCTGACCTGAAAGCCTGTACAAGTCTCTCACAGTTATCCTCTGGCAAGTGATGTGATTTACAAACCCCCTCTCCCTCTTCAAACATGTTGTTAACTCCAAAGAGATCTCAGATAACTAACAGCTGCCACGCTTTTACACCTGCTGTCTCCTGATGTTAAATTTTAGCCACAGTTCCTTCTGTTGCAGCGGCGGTAAATCAGTTGCTGTAGGTATTTGAATGAATTCCCATTCTCTCCTCCCTGATTTTTGCATCCACAAATGGGAACACCTTAAAATACATATTGCATGAGACCCAACATGGAGATTCTTGTAGTGCCAGATTTCTTCTGTTCCTGCACCACAAAACCCCACTGACACACCTTGGTAAATATGAACACATGCAATTTCACTGTTTAATGCCAGAAAATGAACCACAAAACCTTAGTAAATAGCACCCCAGATGACTGAATTGCACTTCTGCATGTTGGTTTCTAAGTACACAAGCTTAAAGTTGGCATAACAGTTTATGTATTCCTGGATCATCTTTGTTCTTATCAGTTTACTACCCTAATCAAAGTCATTATGCAACACACACAGCTCTGTTTTGTTGCTGCTTGTCATCAGCAGTTGTAGACTACAGCTCTTCTTGTTGATAAAAGAATGAACACATCTTTATGAGTCTGATGTGCTTAACCACATGAGACCAAGAGCAGGAGTTTCAAATTATAATGATGGAAATATTTCATTTAGTTTTAGTTCAGGTTCAGTTCATGCATCTTATTTCACGTATGATCATTTTTAATCTTTTAATGATCAGTAAATTCTGGATTATTATTAACAATCCCAGTTTTACATGAATGTAAACTCACTTTGTGTAAAGCATCAGACATTTGAAAAGTTTTGTTTGTTTATTAAAATGTAGCATTAGTATCAATCATGTCCTATTTTGTTGGTTTTGGTTCTGTCGTATCCTGACAAATCCTTTTCACTGTCTCATGCCCTCAGTTCTGATGAGGATGTGTGAGTATGACATGCTTGTCTTTTTGTGTGCTCTTTCAGTTTTTCTTTACTGTTTTGTGTGCCTGTTCTAGCCTAAACAGTTTCCTCCTTTCGAATGGTTTTCAAGTACATATTAAATAAATGGAATCTGTTGCATTAGGTTGTATTCCCGCTGTAGGAACAGAATGGGATTGAGGTCAGTGTTTTGGCGTTTGTATCCAAGGGGCTCTAGTTTTTGGCGGCATAAGAACCACAAGCACTCTGACAGTTTGGTGTTCTCCTGACCTTGGGGAGAGACCATGGTGCACAGGTGGGAAGAGAGGTGCACACATATGGGAAGTTCATTTAACTGGGGCATGCAAGGTCATGTGTTGGTATATTGGTGGAAATTGGGGCTTAGATGTTGTGTTGGGAACAGTAGAGTAAGACTTGTACAGATGTGGACAGATTTGTTGGTTCCCTTTCATGGAAAAAGGAGAACTGACAGTTTTCTCTGAAATAATTTGAAACTAATTAAAGTAATTGGCATCCATCATTGTTCAGTCCATATTTAGTAAAAATCTGACTAAATAAACATTTCATTGACAAAAAATGGAATGTCAAGCTGCTTGTAAATTATGTTTTTCTGATCTTCTCAGACAGCTCTGCTTTGCTTTATGTGGTCTGTGTTGGTCAGTGTGGTGCACACAATGATGCCACACAGTAGAATCACTAATTATCTCTATTTAAATAGGCTGAATGATGGTCAGAACTATCACTATAATCCAATTTTTTATCAAATGTTCTATTATGTTAATGTACCAACAAATCTGTCCAGACCATCTTAGAACATCTTTGTAGAACAAGCAAATTATTTTTTTTACACTTTCTTTGCTTTGCTCTGACTTACCAACAGCTTGCTGATATACATGAGACAGCTGCTTTAAATGTCATCACTTTTCAAGAAGAATGAAACATTCTCTTAATGAGCTGTAAGGATACCAACGGATTTGTGCACATCTGTATGTGTATCCATCAAATCACATGTAAATGCCACAGAATAACCGGGTTGGTTAGCTTGGTATTCTACCTGTTGATACTGGCAGATCACCTCCATCCCAGCTATTTAGCAGTTCTTTCCTCATTTTATATTTTATTCTTAAATGTCATTCGGTGCAGACACTGCTGTAAGCATTGAACTGTGATCAGTTTATTTATTTCTGTCATCATTTAATTAATCCACTGTTAAAAAAACAGTAGGATGTTGTGTGTTCGTCGTGCCGCTCTGCACCATCCAGACAGCAGCGTGATTTCCTGGTGTTACTGTGAATTTATTATAAAAAGCTTTGTCCTTGTTCAGTACTTTGACAAATCAAGTCTTCAGTCTGCAGTATCATCTTTTGCAGTCTAGATGTTCTGGATGTAGTCCATTTCCAGTTGTGTGCCAAGTTTTTTAATGTATGTTTTTATTCTAATACAGTATGTCCTGAATCTTCTGCCTGCTTTCCTTCAGGTTTCCCAATGCTTTTGCTCTTAACTCCACTCATTCCGTGGCTGCTGCTGGCTCTGAAGCAGAAGGTCTCAGCAGCCCTGTGGAGACAGACACACTGAAGATTGAGGAGGTTCAGGCCCCAGCTACAGGAACCCGCAAGGCCAAAGTCCTTTATGATTATGATGCTGCTGATTCCAGTGAGCTCTCTCTTCTAGCTGATGAGGTGAGGTTTCATCACCAACCTGCAATGAGCAGGTTGAATAATGATTACTGGCTGCTGGCCAGACATTTTTGTAGGCCCAGGCCTAAACAGTAGCTTTGTGACTCACAGCAAGAATGTTCCGGGTTTGAGTCCTGGCCAACCTTGGCCCTTTCTGTGTAGAGTGTGCATGCTCTCCCTGTGCCTGCGAGGGTTCTCTTCAGGTACTCCGGCTTCCTCCCACAGCCCGTAGCTTCCGTAGGTTGACTGGTGACTCTAAATTGCCCATAAGAATGAGTGTGGTTGTGTGTAGTTGTCTGTCACTAAATGTCCGCCCTGTGTTAGACTGGTGTCTTGTCCAGGGTTGGATTGGCTCCATGACGCGCTACAGGATAAGTGGTATGGATAATGGATGGATGTGTTTCTGATGTGTTTCTCCTAACACTCACTAGAAGAAATAGGTGAGACAGTACAATGAGCATCAGGAGTCATTCTCACCTCACTAAACTCAGCTGAGTGTTAATAGCGGCTCCTTTTTTCCTGCTTTGGAGAAGAAAATGAGCAATACTTCAGCAACCATGGAGCAATATAATCATACATGTTTTTAGTTTCTACATTGTGGCACTGGGTTTGTAGGAAATGATGACAGAGTAGCTCTGTCTTTGGCAGCATCCTTTTATTTTGGCAGAGGTACAGTACATGCACATAAAGTACCATACGACCGGTAAGACAAGACAATGACACAACAAGAGGGCAGGGCATGAAATGCAACAGCAGTTACAGGTAAAAACAACTGCACAAGACTAATCAAATAGTTTTGGTACAGGATGACAGTAAACAGGTATAAGTACAGGTTTCAATAATTTTCTCACACATATGTTGTCAAACTGGCAGTCCTCAGCCATCTTTGCTCCTAAAGGGCTCGGCCTTTCCTGGATGCCACTTTGTACCAAATCATGATGCAGTCACCTGCTGACATCACCTGTTTCAAATGGAGTCATCATTTCATTGTTTTACCTCATTACTGGCCCTGAAATGCAGCCGTCCAACTTTTTTGGAATGTGTTGCAGCATGAGGATTGTAGTGAGTGTTTATGTTGAACAAAGAATAAAACTGATGAGGTATCAAATCAAATAATGTGCTGCTGTATTGTTTTCAATGTAACACAGAACACAGAGGATTTACACATCACTGTATTCAGTTTGAATTTTGATTTTACACACTGTCCCAACTTTTTATGATTTGGGGTTGTTCATAATATTGAAGAATTTTAGTGCCATTTTTAAATTCACTACAGCTGACCTGAGCAAGTGGTGAAATCTTTCCTTCACTGTAGCAGGATGGATTTCAACGGTTAACTTGTATCGATTCAAGTATTGCTGTGCTGCTGCTACCACTGCTGGGACACTTGGAGAAGATGCCTTCAGCTAGGTTGTATTTAGTTGGACAGGCAATCAAGCGTGGATAAAAATGACATCTTTGTAATTCAGATGGGGGCTTTGGTGTACCATATTATCAGCTGTATTACTACTCTTTTAGTCATTCAGTAGTGATGAAACCCAGCCTTACAGCATTCATGACTGAGCACAGAGAAAGAATCAACTTCACCATCCCTCCTACAAGATTTTTTGAGAAGTAATTGTTACTCAAGTTGTTTGTCTGGCAATACATTACCATGCTTAGTTTCTGTTTCAGTCCTTTGCTTAAACTGCTTACCGATCTTTATTAGATTCCTTTTAAATTGCTCACTCATTTCCACCCACTCCAAGGAAATGGGATCAGATTTGTGTAGGAGGTTTGAATTTTTATTATTCAATGTGGGCAGCAAGAATTTTTTCACTGCCTGATCATCATGCACTCAGCAACACTTCCTGTAGCACCACCCATATGAGAAGAACATCCAAAACCTGCCATCTAGAAAAGGTCTTGTCCATCCCATCCATGTGAACAAGGGTAGGCCATGTAACAGGAACAGCTCTCTGCATAACGCAACCCAATGCAGTGCAACAGCAGCACAAACTACGGCCACCCAAGTGATCATCCAGATGAATCCATACAGTTTTATCACAAACTGGACCTTATCACCTCTGGAGGGAGGATTTATTGTGTTAGTTTTAGCTAGGTTGTGCCTAATAAGCTGGGAACTGCATCTATGTAAAGTATTGTAGTGTCGGCCAGGTTGAAGAAAGAGCTGGACACCAAAACAGCCACTTTTTTATTACACAGCAGGGCAATGGCAACACAACTCTGAACGCCAAACACACAAAACCCTGCCAACCCTTAACAATGTACAGCCTGCCCAGAGGGGCATCATGGGGGATCCAGCCAAATGTCTCTCTGCCCCCAGTGCTTCAGTATGTTGAGCTCACAGTAAAATGACTGAAAACTCTAATCCTTAATCTTGTTTGGAGTACAGCCAGGCGTCAGTCAGTAATGATTGGAACACTGTGGGATTTCATGCCATACATGGCGTGTGTAATTTTTAACCCAACACCAGTCAGTTAGCCTGTGGGAGAGTTGGAGGTGTGCAGCCATGCCACCTGATGCTTCTTATTTAACAGCTCCCTGCAGCTGCTTCTGACTCTTCCACTACTCCCCACAACAGTCAGAACTGATTCTGTCTTTTCCATTTTCCATGTCTTTACCACCATCCACTTTGCTCATACTGATCACTTTGCATCTGCAAACTGGAAACTAGTTGTTTCCTAATTCATTTTATTTAACTTTTAAATTCTTATGCCCTGTTAACCTTTGCCATAGTTGTACGTTTGGTTACTGGCGTTAAAATGTCCCTGTTCTCTGTGTTGCAGCTCATTACAGTTTACACAATGCCAGGAATGGACTCTGACTGGCTGATTGGAGAGAGAGGAAACCAGAAAGGAAAAGTGCCTGTCACATACTTGGAGCTTCTCAGCTAAAGAATGCGCACACCCACACGTGTACCTGTGTGCTACTAAAGCCATGAGGGCATTTCAGTTATTTACACCGATACCACAGTCTTACACTAACCTGTCTTTCAGTAGTAGTCCTCCACACTAAGCATTGACAAAAGCATTATGTTACACACCCCCACACACACACACACACACACACACACACACACTCCTCCATGTGCGTGTCACAACATAGACAAGTGCAGATGGAGACTTTACTATGAATACTGGAAATTCCCCTGTGGGGGATGAGTAACATTCCCTTTAGAGTTGTTTGGTGATTTATTATGGTTGTTTCCTATTTATTCCCTATTTATTGTTGTTTATCCCCTATTTATTTGGGGAGACCTATCCATGGGTGGATGATGTTCAGCTCAGATGAAATGAAGGGATTTCCATCCAAAATATGTTTTTTGTGTGTGTGTGTGTGTGTGTGTGTGTCTTTACTGTCTCTTAATGCCACCTTTGTCCATGAATTTAGTGCTGAATGGTGATGTTGTCTTGTTTCTAAAATGCAACATCATGATGTCCACAAATGCTTTGTGTTCTGAATCAAGTTTAGAAGGTGGACGGTTGCCCCGATCTTTCTCTGAGTGAGTCAGCAGTATTGATCAAATGAACATGCAGTAACAGCACCTAGATTGTTCTGGGTAAAGGGATGATGACGGGTTTCATCCTTTGAAGTTCATTAAATAAATCTCATTACGACCGTCCTCTAACTACCAGACATGGACAAGGAAAACCATTCATGTCACTTTATGCTTTATTTTAAATCCATAAATAAAATGCTTCCGAGGTTATAGTGCAGAAATGTGTTCTGCTCCTCTGTCTTCCAGTATGACGGCGGCACAACTGCATTTCATGTGTTGTGTCTTTAGGTCACACTGAAGAACAATAACTATAAAACAGCAAAAAGTTTTTTATGCAAGGTTTGTTATCCTTAACCTTTGGGAGGCAGATTTGCCTTTAATGTCTGGTTGAAGTGAATTTAATTTGTGTTAGTGCAGGAGCATTACTAGCAACAATTTGGGTTTTGATTTTGTTTTTTTGTTTTTTGCTTCCTCACTTTTCCACAGCACTGAAAATGTCCCTTTGAACAATATGAAAACCTGTGCAGCATATAACCATGACCATTCCCATCCTAACTGCCTTATGATGATGGGAAGGGACAGCTACAGCCATCTGCTGCAAACCAGAGAATGTGTCCTTCACTATGTCCAGAGACTTGATGTACACCACATACAGCATGCAAGACTCGTAACTCCTAATCACATGTGTCTGTGTGTGACTTTGGTTTGGCCTTTAGTATTTTTGGATTTACAATGCTCCTGTGTGTTGCCGTTTTAATATTTTAAAGTGTCTTCAGTCTTAGTACTGCATGTGCTACAGCGAGTAGCCTGTCCTGCTGGACATGTACGATTGAGTCTGTTTTGTGAGAGCTGGCGCACCAGATGGTTTGCACAAACACTGATCAAACACTGATGTCTTCTTTCACATGCAGAATGTCTGCAGTCTTTTTTTGAAACAACCAGCCTGGCCTCAGGGATTTTTGTGAAATGAGCACAGTTTTGCCACCAATCCTGCAGTCAGTGAGACAAACAGGTGAGGGTACTGACAGTAGAGGAATGTAATTTGCATCACGTACCCTGCTTAAGCAGGGATGTCCTTTTTCTTTCTTATTTCTTTTTTTTTTTTTTTTTTTTTTTTACTGCTGCTGTTGTGATTCTGTTGTACCTCAGCCTGTAATATTATTTTGTCTAACTATATATTGCCTGTTCCTTAAACATCCTGTATGAATGAAATGTATGGGATTTAATAAAAAGTCAGATTTATTTGAATTCAGTGACTTTTTCACAGCTACCACATACCCTCATCACAAACCATCTAACAATCATAGTGGCAGCAGCAAGCTGAAACCAATACAAACCAGTGTGGTGGACTTCCTCTACATGACTAAAATCAATTACAGGTGAACTAATTCAACAACTTTTTCCAAAAGAACTTTATCTATTTTGTTGCTCAGTAATCGTAGCCATTCCAAGCTCCACGCTTTCCTTTTTTGTCCAAATTTGGTTTACTCACACTCCAAGGAGACTGTGCTACTTGCGCATTTTTTTAGCCTATGAGTTTTCCACAGCAGGTTTGCAGTGGAAGAAGGACCAGTAGAACAGCATAGATGTCCTTCAGCCACATCAGTCGTTGGAATGGCACTGGTTGGTCCACCGCTTTAGTCCTGACTCTAATCTTTCAGCAGCTGCTGGATAGAGTTCCATGAACTTGTGTACCATCCTTGTGCCCAGAGGATAAATCCTAAAGACATAAGCTGTCCTCTGTACTACCCTCATTCTGCTGTTGATGCAGAGACACATCAGATTACTAGTTTCCACTTTAGGAAAATCAGCTCATGTTTTATTCTTGAAATGCATTACAAAGCAAAAGCTGCTGTCATATTTTTAAGATGTGTAACCATTTTATAACCTAAAGTACAATAAAGGTGTAACTGAAATAGCATCAGTTGGATGTGATTATATGAATCGCTTCACTTTGCTATTTCTAAAATGTTTTATATCTGTGTTTTTTATTGAGCTGTCATCCTGCTTCAGTTGACTGACTCAGTTGTTTCACAGTAATCAGACCAGGGGCTGGCTGAGGGGGAATTTATTAATCACCACACCCTCTGATTCATATTCACCTTCATCTGGCCTATTTCACTTTGCGCTGCTGAACATACAGTACGGGGGAAAACATAGCAGGTGAGCTTAGTAATGCCTCCACAGTGTCCCAGCACTCTGGACCTACCACGCTGCACTACAACTGGGTCTTTAAAGCTTGCCTTTAGTCAGGGGTGCAGTGGCTGAAGGACCAGTAGAACAGCACTAATGTTCCTGGACCAGTTCCATATCTACCCATGTCAGTCATTCATTCATTCATTTTCTACCACTTAGTCCCTGAACGGGGTCACGGGGGTGGCCAGAGCCAATCCCGGCTGGCAATCGGGCAAAGGCGGGGTACACCCTGGACAGGTCGCCAATCCATCGCAGGGCTAACACATAGACAAACAACCATATCAGTCATATATTTTACAGTTTTTCTCTATCGCTTTCATTCATTTCTCACAACAGAATTGAAGTTTGCAGATCTCCAAGTGCATTTCTCAAAACAATACATACAAACTGCACAACATAGTGGATAACCGGAAAAAGCGCGTCACCTGCTCAAAATGCTTTGTCTATTGTGCAAGTGTGTTTTTTCATCAATCATTGTGTCAGAGGCAGCAGAATCCCATGTCATTTCCTCAACAATGTGAACGTGACAGGCAAAATTATTAGTCATGTTGTCAGTAGAACGTCATACTCAGTTTTTGTTATTTACTGTAAACTATACTCAACTCAGGTTTTGATGACTAGAAACCACTAAATTACCGTACTGGTGTGTGTCATAATTTACAGTGTCCCTC